ATAAAAATAATTTTTGAGTTTATGAATAAATTTTTTTCCCTTCAATTTACTATACCAAAGAAAGATAAGGTAAAATTATCATTTCTGAGATTTTAAACCAGAAATGTCATTATTTTTATTGTCATAAATCGTAAATTTTTGATGATATAAATAAGTATATTTTTTCTTGTAAATCTTATCACGATGGATTAATTAAGTATGAAGCAAATAAATATATTAATCCCTCCGTTCACTTTATTAGTCGCTTATTCTTAAAATAAATTTTTATTTTTATTTGTTACCATGTTAAAAGACAATTATGTTTTTTTTCCACATTTTACTCTTAATGTTAAATACTTATTCTATAAACTATTTTAAGACCTAATACTCTACTAAACATCATCAATGGGAATAGTATAGTAAAATACATATGTCAATAATTATTTTTTTAGTCGTGTATCAAATTAAATAATGACAAGTAAAAATTAACGAAAGTAATATATGATTAACTTGACACATTATGAGTTTAATAATGATTAAAGAAGACAGGTATAAATTGCTTTTCACTTTTTGTTTTCCTTTTTCTTAGGAATTCCACTTCCTACATTACACGTAGCCTCTAACATTTTATTTAACATTTATTCTTTTATTTTTTTATATTTTAATATATACTTATTTAAATTTAAAATTTAATTATAATTTAATACGACTAATACGATATTCAAATATCAAAAGCTATTTTGTAAAAAAATAAATTAAAATCCTATTCATCTCATCATACTTTAACTATAATTTTTAAAAAATACTTTACTTTACTTTAATATAAGCCAACAGAAAATATGTCTTTCGAGTCAAACTCAAGAAAGACTTAGAGTTTACATTCTTTAAAAATTTACATACTTAATATAATTTTAAAAATAAAGTCAATAAAAATATATGCAAATCTTAATTTTAACTTTTAAAAATAATATAAAATATATTCAAAAAACTTTCGACTTAACTAAAAAAAATTTTAAAAAATAATTAAAAATAATAATAAATTCAATATAATCCGCACGATACTCAAAAAAAAAAATGACTCTTATTTTCAAACATAAAAAGACTAAAATGGAATTTACACATAAAATTCCAAAAAAAAAAAAAAAAATCCAAAAAACGAAACGTGAGAGACTCTTTGTTCTTCACGTTCTTGCCTTTAATAACTTCTCTACTGTTTTTTTTTATTTATAATTTTTCCATTAATATCTACTAATTAACTAACTAAATTATCTTTATCTTTAGCTGATTTCATCTTCTTCAAAAAAAGAAAAAAAAACTGATTCTGTTTTTGTTATATTTAATTCTTTTGCTTCTCAAATGAACCAGTTTGTTCAAGAATCTATAACTATTTGGCGAAATTTTTTGAAGGTTCTTCTTCTTTCTTATTGTTTACTCTGTTAATTTTTTTTTTGTTTTGGGGTTTATTTGAATCATACCCATTAATGAAGTAATGCTTATATATACTTACACAAGTATTTCTATTTTAGCTGTTGATTCTAATTTTTTTATCTTCGATTTATGTTTGATGATGAGTAGTTTTACTTGAGCTGGGTTTATAGGAAATAGTCTTTGTAATGGTTGAATTCTGGGTTAGTCTTTTTTTATTTTTTTTGTGGCTATTTTAGGTGCTGATTCAATTTTGTAGAAAAAGATTGTTTTTTTACTGTTTTTCTGTGTAATGGGTAATGAATTTCTGGGTTTTCTTGATTTTTTGAATTTTTTGTGTGATTGTTTGTTTTTCTGGGTTTTTTTTGCCTTTTATGTGTTTGCTGGCTTTTTGGGTGTATATGCATTTATGGAATGGTAAAAATTTGAGATTCTAAATTTTGATTTGGTTTGGGGATTGATTGATGCTATTTTTGCCAATTATTTGGACTCTTATATCAAAATTCTCTCTGTTTTCAATGAACTTGGTGTAATATTCTGACTGTTTCTGCTAAAAAAATATAATTTCTTGCTTGTCTTATTGGTTTTCCAATAAAATATGTAAAACTCATTAAGATATAATATGGTTGAAAGTTAGCTTGCTTATGTATATATGTGTATATATATATTGGATGTACATTCTTGTTTTTGTCATTCTACCAAATTCTTAGCTAGTTGTTTACGAAGTCTTTGAGTGTCTTTTATCTTGTTAATTTAATAGTACTAGTTGTATTATTCGGATTGAGCTTCTAGATGGTGACTTTTTATATAATTAACATTTTGGCAGAGTGTAGATTGAAGGAATCCATTTGAATAGGTGTGTGTTCTGGAGAGCAAATCAAGAACGGGCTATTGTGGCGCGATTAAGTTGGGAATGTTGAGTAGATGAGAGTTGTGATTTTTGAGCTGGTATTGAACTAAATGATAAGGTTCAGCAATGAAGTCAATGAACTTAGAGAAGAAATGGCTGTTTCCTTTGGTTTTAAGCGCGATTGTGTGTTTTTTCGTTGTTGTAACCTCCTTCAACATGGGCCTTATTACTTCGTTACACACAATCAACTCAATCTTTTTGTCTCATGTTAAGCTGAATCAAACCAACCCATATTTTGCTGAATCGATAATTAACCAAGCTCCACCCCCTCCTGCTAGACCTCCTGTCCCCCGTTTTGCGTATTTGGTATCTGGATCAAAGAATGATCTAGAAAAGCTTTGGAGAACGTTGCAAGCATTGTATCATCCACGGAACTATTATGTTGTTCATCTGGACCTAGAATCATCTGTGCAGGAGAGGTTAGAGCTTGCTTCCAGAGTGGAGAAAGAACCCATTTTTGCACAGGTTGGGAATGTGCATATGATCACCAAAGCAAACATGGTGACCTACCGTGGACCTACCATGGTTGCTAACACTCTTCATGCCTGCGCGATTCTCCTGAAGAAGTATTCGGACTGGGATTGGTTTATTAACCTGAGTGCTTCTGATTATCCACTGGTGACTCAAGATGGTTAGTTCTCTGTTTGTTTAGCTTTGTCTACCAGAAAAGCCAATACTTTCTTTTTGGTATTAAGTCAGTCTTGAGTAGTTCTGTAATGTTTCTTTCTTTAATGTTTGACAGATTTACTCTATACTTTTTCCGGTTTAAAACGAGAGTACAATTTCATTGAGTACAGTAGCCGGCTGGGTTGGAAAGAGTATGCTATCCTCTCTTTCTATCTCTCACTTTGTGCAATGTAACTGTATTATACTGAGGTTTAATTTCTGTGTAACTGGATTGATTCTATTCAGGGGTCAAAGGGCAATGCCGCTTATTATAGACCCTGGTCTCTATAAGACAACCAAGTCTGACATATTTTGGGTCTCGCCGAAGAGAGCTCTTCCCACAGCCTTTAAACTCTTTACAGGTTAGTTTTTTATGATTGAATTAACATACTTGTTTAACTATCCTTGAAGTTGTTTACTGATGTTGATTCACCACAAAAGCAAATAGAAGATGCCATGATACTACTTTGGCCCCGTAAAAATTTGTGCTTGTACCATAAGGGCTTTGTGTCAAACCTTAAGACTTGAATCAGTCACTACTATAAAAGCTGAACGATTGGTATTATTTTCAGTTAGAGACTCCTCGAGTTGAAAAGAACGTATGCTAAGACACACTTGAAACTTATCTTTGGACGCTGTCAACCTGCATGTTTGTTTATCAACTATTGTGGTTAGATGAAACTACGACATTTTGCATCAGTTGGACCAGTTAGCGAAGTGTTTCAATTACTGTTGTTACGTCTGTATTCCTCCACACTGAAATCTTTTTTTCTAGAAACACGGTGAAGCATTTGTCAATCTTATGCATGTATGGAAATGGATAGATTACTTTTGACCCTAAGAATAAGGTAAGATCTAGGAAGAAAATACGTAGAATCAGCATGAACTGCATAGATAATGAAGTGAAGTCTCCGTGTAATGCATCCACCATATGGTTTATCTTCTTAACAACAACAACACCATACCTAGTGTAATTCATCAAGTAGGGTCTGGGGAGGGTGTTGTGTTCACAGCATTAACCCTTTACCTTATGAAGTTAGAGAGTTTTTTTTTCGAAAGACCCTCAGCTCAACTCTCAAGTAAAGCATATAAAAAACAGTATGAAAAGGAAATGTAGTAGTGAAGAAGCCAAGTAGAGAATAGATACGGTTATCTTCTTATTTCCGCAGTTATGAAAAATGCTACAAATTTGATACAGGTTCAGCGTGGATGATCCTCTCTCGTGCTTTTGTGGAGTACTGCATATGGGGTTGGGATAATCTTCCCAGAACCTTACTCATGTACTACACAAATTTTGTCTCCTCTCCTGAAGGCTACTTTCAGACTGTAGCTTGCAATGCCCCAGAATTTGCTACAACTGTTATTAACCACGACTTGCACTTCATTTCTTGGGATCGCCCTCCAAAACAACATCCACACAATCTCAACATAAATGACACATCAAGAATGATTGCAAGTGGTGCTGCATTTGCTCGCAAGTTCAAGCGAGATGATCCTGTTCTAGACAAGATTGATAAAGAACTCCTTCGTCGAAAAAATGGTAGCTTTACCCCAGGGGGTTGGTGTACCAGCAGACCTTCTTGTTTAAAGGTTGGAAATCCAGCAAAGCTTAAACCAGGTCCAGGGGCTAAAAGGCTTCGGCGTCTTATTGGTAAACTAGTTTTGTCAACTAATACTACTAGGCAACAGCAGTGTAAGTAGCTATACTTTCCCATGAAAAAAGGGAGGGGATTAGAGAGTTCCATTTATAGATCCAGAGAATAATATTGACATCAGATTATTTTGTAATATAAAGATTTACACATCCTTTTTCACCCTATTGTGTTCCTGTTTTTGTGTAAGTTTATCCTTTCTGCCCTAATAATCTGTGGCTTTGGTTCGTCGAGAATAACCTCCTTACCCACAAAGATAGAGATGAGATGAGGTCTCTCAGATCCCACTTGTGGGATTACACGTGGTATGTTGAAAATATAACTTCAAACTATTGAGATCAAGAGTGAACCAACATGACACACATGGATTTCTAAATGCTGCTTGTATTTTTCTGCTAAATTGCTTCCATAGTCCAAAACATAGAATTTTCTGGAGATCACATTCACACAGTTCCTTCAAGAAAATTCATTTGAACTCTGGAAATTACAGAATATACAGAGAAATTCATATTTGCATCCTTTCCCTTTTATATACAGCATTTCACACTAAGACCAATATATGTTCTCATATTTCCAGTTGAATCTACTTCCACTATATGATTACTACTAGCAAAAATCTTGGTTTCTTGATGATGGCAATCTCCATGTTCACTATGGTATCCGATCTAGTTGACCTCTTCACAGCAACCTATTTGTTCATCAATGCAGAACCCTTACCGTTCACGTCTTTTTATCCTGAAGGCAAGTACGAACCTTTGGAGAACATGGACCACATTAAGCCATCTCCAACAGCTTGATATTTCCCATAGAATTCGCAGCAACTAAGGTAGAGGACTGATCACGCCAACAGACAGATGAGATGAACTGTGCTTGGTCATCCACTTCACCACCAGATAGAGGATCTGTGCTATTAAATTTAAATGACAATGCAGGCATAGGAAAAGCTTTGTGGTAGACAAAGACCTGCAACACAATCCAGATCACACCATTACATTAACACGAAAAAGTCGTAGCAATAGCTGTTTGTAGAACAATACATACAAGTATAAAGATAGTTTTGGAAGGATGGTGGGATATAGGAATAAACAAGATAATGCATTGAACCAATGATATATAATCATTTTAATGGAGTTCCTTCACCACCTTTTTCTTTGCCAAGGTATATTTCAACCCTTTTAAAGTATTCTCGTAACCATCTTATACTATAGGCACTGCAATACTCTTCCTATCTATGGTATTCTTCTGTGCTATTTATTCCCAGGTTTTCATATTCTTGATGTTTACCAAATATGAGCAGTGAATGTGGGAACTGTTACTATCAGCTAATTAGAAGTAACCAAATACATGTTAATGGAGAAAGAGGACTGTCTAAGAGGTCGCAAAAGCAACTTTTACAGGAAATTCTTTTCTTTTGGTATCAATTGTGTCATGTTGTCCTATCAGAAAAAGAAGAAAGCTTAATCATCAAGACTGGCCGCTTAACAATCCATGTTGTTAATTTTTTAAAAAAATTTAATGTATAATATCAGGGGCAATGGCCAGAGACTTGTTACTAATTGGGCAGCACATGAAAATGATCCTCATTGTATATATCTTTGCTTGTCAAACTGAGTTCTTCAAATTATCTCTCTCGTAAATACTTCATTTTCTTATATAGTTTCTGTGGAAAACAGTGCTGCTCCCAACTAGTTTTGGTGTTGATGCACAGTTGGTTGATTGATGTTGTTTCCCAATAAGTTCTCCCAACTTCCAAACAGAAATGAGGGCGTGCACATACAAACCCATGTATGCATGTATATGTCAAGTGGAAGAAAGTCATTCCTCCCCTATAAGGATAAAATGCAGTAAGTCCTTAGATTTTCTTTTCTTTCTGTACTACTGTTTAGGGGGGGGGGGGGTTAGAGGTGGGAAAATGTTTCGTCTTATGGAACAGTAGATTTTCTTTTCTTTCTGTACTACTGTTTGGGTTGGGGGGGGGGGGGGGTTAGACACAAAGTTCCTGATTTTGCCGCATGTACATGACCTATTCAGGCAAGGTTTAGATCCTTCGTACATCATGTCAGAACTTTCATCCGAAAAGCACATCCCAGAAAGGCTAGGGTTATTTCATCAATTTATTTAAGAAAAAACTAAGAACATAATGAGAAAAGACAAAAAATGGAAGAATTTTTTAACACAAACTAGAAACTACAATATAAGGTGAAGAACTGTCCTTCAAACTTGATACCTTACTGGTTTTCGAGGGCAGTACAAATGATGTGAAAAAGAGGAAAGGAGAAACAGAAGAAATCAAAATCACACCTAAAGGGATCTAGTTTACCCATGTTACGGAATGATAACTGAGAATAAGTTTTGTGAACTACACATGAGAGGCTTACATTTCTATGAGACTGTAGTACACACACCATGTTTTATTCTGAAAAAAAGCAAAAACGCCTAAAAGTAACGGAATTATCCATGGGACTATGGGAGAGATGCTAGCCCTAAGGCTAATAATCATAACTTTGAGGAGGATTAAACGTGAAGGATAGGTGCTGGTGATAAATATGGAGGTCACAGGATAGAATGGGGAAGAAATCAGATAAAGCATCTATGTGATGTTACTAAGGACCAGAAGGATGGAGAAGTTTCTACAGACACATGAGATTTAAAGTAGGATCTATACTAGAATTAATTTTTTGAAGCAGGGAAGGCGCAACAATGTGGATCTATGTGATACTTTTCTATCCATTCCCAGTGTCTCCAAAGAGAACAGCAACAATCACCCTGGCCTGTGACGAAGAGGGTGGAGCAAGATTATGGTACAGCTTTTACATAAAATAAGAGTTTGTGAGTCATTCATTTGATTATTTACAAACAGCATCAACCAAAATGCTTCAGACACAACAAGAATTTAAATATATATTTTTGACAAATAGCTTGAACATAGAACATTGATTGCAGCCCCATGTTTCCGCCTAGATGTATATGTGCTTAATTTAACAAGCATCTGGAACTAGTTTTTCCTCGATGCATACAGGACACACATTTTTCATCACAATGTAACCATTGCTAAAGGCTCATCTACGATCGAATTAGTAAGCAAGTAATATTAGTGATATATCCGGTAGTAAATGATACCTCATTCGTCTCCGAGCCAGTAGCAATGTAACCTTCAGATACAGATAAGCCAACAAAGTTCTGAAATGCAAGAATACTTTTATCAGAAGCAAAGGACATTCAACCATAAATGATGTTCTATCTCATTCACAGTAAAGCACATTTAACCACAACTGAAGTTCAATCTCATTTCTGATAAATTATTTCAGGGATGATCTCCTATGTTAAAAGGCTACAGATTCATTAAGCATTTACAAATTGTATGTATTTAAATTTAAATTTGTATGACAGCCCATCTTTTCAACTGCAGCAAAGAGCGCCAAAAGGAAGCAAAGAGTACAGCGAAGACATGAAAATCTGTCTTCTTCAGGTGACATGGATAAAGAGAAATACCTTTACATTCATGTGTCCAGTAAATGACTGAAGAGGTGTATCAAGAATCCGGGATGTGCAAATTGACAAATCCCATAGTTTTAATGTGTTATCTGTAGATGCAGACACAAGCGTTGTGGAATCTATGAACTTGACATAGCTCACAGTCTTGTTGTGCCCGATTAATGTGCATAGAGGCATTTTTGAGTTACGTAGATCATAGTAATATATCTTGTGATCAGCTGAACCAAAAGCAAGGGAGCGACCAGAATCAAAGGGGAACTGAACGCAGCAGACATTGGCTTTTGTTTTGATGGTTCCAACACTTACTCCCTGCAGTACCAACCCAGTTAAGAAAAACAACTTATTACACACAGTTTTTATCTACACATTAACATACTAGATGACAGTAGTACGTTTAGTTTCAAAGCTGACATCCACCAAGTGCAGAAATAGAATTGCCTGATTGATATTCCAGAGTTTGACAGAACCATCATCACTCCCGCTAGCCAACATGGTTGGATCTGCTGCAGAAAAGTCAACAGACCAGACACGCCTTTCATGTTCTCTCATTTCCATGAAAACCTGACTTCTTGTGACATCCCATACCTGGAAAAGAATTCAAAAAACTTCATCCCAATTAAATTAAACAGAAACAATCATGATCATGAATATAGCTCACCTGCACCACACCTTCAAAGTTACTTGACGCGATCTGGCTTTTGATATAGCCATTCCAACATATGCTGCTTAGCTTAGATCTACTAGCCATTTCAACAACTGGATAGTGGATATCGCGGTCCTCATTAACAATTGAATTATATTCAAAAACTTTGATCTTCTTATTTACACCAGCAGTTGCAAAATATTCACCATCACGATCAAAGCCTAGAGCACATACAAGATTGGAAGAATTTAGAAGATCCCCTTGCTTCAAGTCAGCCTTCACTTCCAGCTTGCTATAAGATAGATACTTGCACAGTCCCTCCAGGAATGAACTGATTGATCCACTCTGTCTATCCTCATTGCACCCCTCTTTTGATGCCAAATTACTCATTGAACTTCTTTCAGGTGCCAGAACTGCAGTTCTACAATCCGTACTTGCCTGAGAATGTCTATATAGTGATTTGCCTGTCGGTTTGATAACCCTACGTCTTGTCATGAAATAAGCCACCTCCAATTTCTTGAAGTTCTTCATCAACCGGGAATTTTTTGCCAGAATGCTCCCTTTGTTTTCGACATGTTTCTCAGACTCATCTGGATTGCCATTGTATTCCTCAGCTGTGTGTATAGAAAGGCCTGGCTTAAATCTCTTTCTAGATCCAAAGCACCCAGCATCATCATCTTCAGCAATATTTATCTTTCCTGAACCTAAATCCCTTACTGGCTCCTGATTTGAACCCCTTTCGACTCTAAGGGTCTTCTGCATCTTTGAGACCTCTTCTATGTCAGATGATAAAAAAGATACAATCTCACGTAAGTTGTGTAAAGCCTCCAGCTTTCGTTGTTGAATTAGCAAAAGGAATTCCAGCAATAACTCTTGCTCCTCTATTTCTTCTCTAAGTTCTATTGCTGCTTCACGTTCTTCAAACTCATCTCTTGGAGCATTAAGGAAGTCGCTTTCTAGCAAGTCACTGTCATCGATGTGAGAAGTAGAATCAGAATAACAAGAATAGAGGAGAGAGGGACATTGCAGTTAAAAATAAAATGAACTAAGATTTTAGCGACAGTAGATTCTTCAAGTGAATCATATTTGGCGCTTGAAATGAATCTGGTCAACAGGTAAAGACTACCATTTAATGCAACAACAACAACCTGCCAATGAAATCCCACAAGTGGAGTTATGGTAATTGGCAAGGTAGAGTGTACGTAGTCCTTACCCCTACCTCGTTGAGGCATAGAGGTTGTTTTTGAAGGACCCTCAATTCAAGTGCAGCAAATCAAAATAGTAACACAACAAAAACAGCATACCCAGTGAAATCCCACCAAGTGGGGTCTGGGATGGTAGAGGGTATGCAATCCTTGCCACTACCTCTCCGAGATAGAGAGGTTGTTTCCGAAAGACCCTTGGCTCAAGCAAATCAAAGCAGTCATAAAACGAAAAAGGGTATTGGGGAGAAACATAACAACCAAAAGCAAAGTAGTGTGGCACATATATGTAACAAACTGTAACTCAAATCAAAAAAGTTATTAAAAGGAAAAACAATTGTGAAGAAAACACGGCAACTAATAAGGAAAGTAGTACAAAGCATTTAGAAAATGAACAACAACAACATCACAAAAGTGCGGTAACAGAAACACAGTAAAACATTATGGTAATAGACACCAAAAGGCGAGAAATTACATGAATAGGCTAATACAACGACAAACACGGTGCTCCAGACTACCATCAAGCCTAATCCCGTCGAAAAGCAAAACATCACTCAACTATCACTTACCTTCTACCCTTATCTGCCACCTTCATACCCTCCTATGAAAGGTCATGTCCACGGTAAGCTAAAGTTGTGCCATGTGTCTAATCACCTCTCCTAATACTTCTTCGGCCACCATTTGATGTTAATTAGTAGAAAACTTTGCTCATTTCTAGTTATTTCTCTCTCACTAAGTCTTAAGAGCCATTTTCCCATTCTTTTACTTTTACTTTTACCACAGCGCAGGAAAACATTTTGCAGTGATCAATTAAGGTTCAAACAAATTGTGCAGATAACAGCAACAATATGGACAAATTTCCATAACAATAAGCTGATAAGACGTTTCAAGACGCCAGGGATGAGACATGAAATAGCATTATGCAAAGAGGGAAGCATAGCTGATGATCAATTAACTAACAGTTTTGCCTGTCGAGGCAACCAAGCCCCGCAACCACTCCTAATGAGTTGTGTAAGAAATATAGGAGAATATATTGAATTTTGTATCTATATATATTACATTGAGACCTACTTTTAGACACTACATTAGACTCTTTTTCCAACTAGGACACTACATTACAATCCTTTTCTAAGTAGAATTCTACATACTATTCTTGTTTCTACTCCTATTCTAACAAGTTACACACCCAAAATGTAACCTTGGGTCATCTCATCAACCAAAGAGAGGAAAGAAAAAAGAAATGAATTAGTGCTGTTGAAAGAAAGGCACGCATGCTTTCCTATATTTTCCTTATTTACTGTGATAAGATTTATTCATCCATGCACAAAACTCAACATCTGGTGACTTCTCCAGATAAGAGTTCTCTACCAGAAAGAGAGCGTGTATACTATAAACTCTGACAGTGTAGTGAGCATTATATGCCAATAACAGCTTTGAAAACTAAGGATTGAGCTACAGATTGAAGTAGGTATAAAAAGACTGACAACAAATCAACCAGGTATCAAACAAATCAAAGAACCATTTTCCATGAGGGAGAACAAAGCGAGGAAAAAAATTATCCGGTTGATGCATAAAAAGAATACCCACCCCATTTTTGGCCTATTGCTCGGCTCGGGGTGCAGTAACCATAAGCAAAATGAAGCTTCTTTTGGCCATTTCAACAACAACTGAGGAGGGAGGACACGATGTCTCAGACTATGCATAGTTGCGCTTTTCTCTTCTGATGAGCTGAAGGTGCAGAATAGCTGCTCAAAATTATAATAATCATTAAAACATTAAGTTTCATCTTTGCAGTCGTGCGAAATATAACTCAGCAGGCCCTTTAGCAACATACTAGCTAACAAGTACTAACCTCGAAGAGAAGGACTCCAAGTCGGTAAACGTCTGAAGCACAAGAGCTTGGAGCACCAGCAATTTCTTCTGGACTAGTGTACCAATTGGTTTCCATGAGCAACATTTGTTTCATTGGGAAGGTGTGCTGTTTTTCTTCAAGTCTGTTCATACTAGCTTCTAAAGTCTGAACCATATGGCCTGAGCTTGACTGTAAGCAACAGTTTTCAGATAATCCGATTGAAGCTTTTACAGAAATCTTCTCAAGCTGAGAACTATGAATCCCCAGCCCTTCCGATTTATGAGGCAAAACTGAAGATGAATCCTTTAACTCGACAGTTTGGCTGTTTAAACCATCATCTGATGAATCTGAACCTGAATCCGAGCAGGATACGGATTCGATGAATGCAATACGTTTGAAAGAGGACATGACAAAACATGATGGTCGTGCATTATGAACAACTATTCCCTGTGAATGTGCCAGGTTTACAATCTCCACAATTTGGGTGAATATGTGCAGACATTCAAGAGCATCAACAGCTCTCTCTGGGTTGTCCAGCCACTGCCTCAAACTAACACCACTAAAGTCTGTTCCGCGACAACCTCGATCCACAGTGAGCCTATCCTCTGCAACCCCACCTTGGGCTTTAAGATGATTTGCAGGAGGGAACTCAATTATCTCCCTCCCCTTTCTACCTGGAACAAACCCAGAATCATGCAACACATCATTGGAGGACCTAATGCTGCTCGTTTGAAATCTAGGATTCCTGTCCACAAGAGCTGAAGAATTCAAACCCCTATAACTATCTGATCCCTCCCAACCAGATTCAGATGAACCCTCCATTGTTATCTACGTATAACTTGTATGTAGCCCAAGGGCCACAACATTAACCAGCTGGGAAATTCTTAGAATCCTAGCACATCCTTTCACTTTCACCATAGCCATATCGAATCAAGAACACATTTTCAGTAAAAGGAAGGCCAAACCCATCATTTCAGAAGTCTCTCAACTTCATTTTATTCAAGTTATCAACCTATTTACCAAGAAAAACAGTACAAACAAGCAAAAAAAAGCAATCTAAGGTCTTCCTTAAGAGAGACAAACTCACTCAAAAAGAATCAGCAGACAGAATCCAATGCCTCATCAAAATGCACAAGGGCATGCTATGCTACACGTTTTCATGAGAGAGAGAGAACGATATTACCAAGGAGAGAAGCTGACCTCTTATTTCATCCAGAGCAAACAAAATAACAACAACCACTCACCCCAAATACTTCAACTTTAAAGCACAAAACCAAAAAGTGTGCTTTATTCCGAGGAAACACCACAGCCTCACAATATAGCCAAAAAAAAAAGTATTTTTCCTCAACAACACAAATGAACCCAAAAAAACAAGCTTTTTTTATACTAGTTTTTTTTCTTCCACAAAAGAATACATTCAGTTGTTGTTCTAGACCTGATGTTTTAAATGAGTAAAAATCAATTCTCTTTTGGATTACTCTAAAAATTGAAAGAAAAAAAATACCTTGTGGGGACAGTAGAGGAAGCTCCTCATTATCTAAAACCCACTCGTTCCCTCTTCTATTTTTTACATGTACGTGGCTCATTCACATCCTCAAAGCTTTTTCAATAAAGCAGACAGGCAAAATGGTATTTTAATCACAAAAGAATATCTTACAACATGTGAGTTATTATGAACAAGAAGGATCTTCAAGAGGATCTCGATATTAACAACTAAGTTTTCTATTTTGGGTATATAATCTGGTTTAATTATTACTTAAATCTTTGTAATCTTACTAGAAAGTATAAAACATGCATAAAATAATCAAGATAGAGTAATTTAATATTATGAAACACAGTGATACAATGAATTAACAAATGGGTAAGTGCGCACCTTTTACGTCATTCTCAAGATTCAACTTTTCAGCCAACTCGAGGAAACCCTAAAACATCATGCAATTCAGAAGCCACACACAAAAAAAATATCATTTTGGAATTTGTTTTGAGTTGAAATCTCAACTACTTGAACCCCCTTTCAAACTAATAAAAAATGGGTTTCGAGTTTCAACCTCAAATTTAACAAAACTCCATGAAAATGACAGGTTAATAGACAGTACCCAGATTTCATTTTAGCTCTTACGATGTGAAATTTGTTGAATTAGGGCATTATAGAATCGACCCGGGTTACTTTGAAATCGATACAATACAGTTGAAACTCTGAAGAACTGAGCTGATTTTCTGTACTGATACAGATTCAACGTTTGTTCTTCCATTTGTGAAATTCCAGTACAGTCGAGCTTTTTTTTTTAAAGCGATAAACACTCCTTCATCCTATAAAAGTCTCGAGTTAGAGTTTTTTTTATATTAAATCTCGTTTTTATTAAGAGTTCACATAAATTTTTAATAAAAAAGTCTCGAAATCAAATTTTCTCGTATATTATGTCTTTATAAGTGATCAAATAAATATTAAATAAAAAAGTCTTGGATTAAAATTTTACTGAAATCGACTCTTTGTTAAAAGCTTGATTAAATTTAATCGAGCATGAATATGAACATCGTGGAAAAACGAGAGGTCTCTTTACCTTACTCTATTAATAATATTCCTTCGATCTTACATTATGTGTTTTTTATTTTCATGTCATATAAAAATTATAAGGAAGAAATATATTTTATAAATACAATTATGTTAAAATGATTTGGTGGTGTAAATTTTATTCATGGTCATACTACTTAATGGCTTTAGTCTAAAAAAAAAGAATTATATTTAATTAACTTATCTATAAAAAAAAACGATTATAAAAACATTTTTTTTTAGCAGGAATATGTTTACATTTACATTAAAAGGGAAATGTAAGTTTCCATTGATATTGTTCATCTTTTTTAGATAATTGTGGATTGGTAAATGGTTATATTATTAGCCATGCAGCTTCTTTGATTTGTATTTGTTGTTGCAATAACATTGATGGAGAAAGAATTGGAAATTACTGATCTATTAGAAATATTATTTCTGTCCAGTGGCCGATCCAGAATTTAAAGGTTCTAGAAAAAATTTAAAAAAAGAAATGCTATTACTGGCGAGGATTCGAACACTGCGCCTCTTATTGCAGAGATTTAAGTCAGCTCATCCACAACTGCTTTTGTTCTATGGGTGCTCATTTAAATTATAATAACATATGTATCATATTTTCTATATATATATATATACAAAAAATTACAGAAATCAATGAGTGCTCGAGCACCCGCATCTGGCTTACTGGGTCGGCCCCTGGTAGCTACCAATATATCAAAAGTTTTGTAACTATAACATGTTTTTAATTTGGATAAGCTTCTCCATATTACACATCAAACTAGTTTTGTTCTTTTGTAAATAGAAGATATGTGTAGATACCACCTCTCATTATGTAGCATATTTGATAAGCTGAAAATGTTTGGCATCTTGATACTATAAAAAGATGTTGGGGAATAATCCTTTTTGTTTTTCCACCCTGACTAAATTTAGATTCACGCTGTGAAATCTATAACGCTCCCTAACAAATACAACTCTGTATCGAGATTGTTGCTTTTTTTGAACTAACCATTTCCCATAATGATGTCCTTTTTAAGTTTTAATACTTATGACATGTTTGGACATAGTAGATTATTTGAAGTTACTTAGATTTGTTGAACATATCATTCTTGCACAGAGACTGAAGACAGTTACCTGAACAGCAAGAATGATTCAATGTTTAGAGAGAGTTACATTGTTTAAATTAGCAGAAAACAAGGGAGATCTTTTCCAGATAAATTCTTCTACAAATGGCGAAAAAAACGCCCCGCGCTATCCTTCCTTAAACAACTTCTATACAAACTCCCTCAACTCACCCTTCTCAAATTTGACTCATTTTACATGATAATACTAACTAACTAGTGATTTTTCTATAGTCTGGATTCTCTTTTAGTTGTTCTTAGCCGATTCGCTCTCAGTTGAAGCTCAACGGCCAGAAACAAATAATGAATTGGCTGATAATTTGTTGCCTTCAACCTGAATTTTCTTTGCTTTCGCCTTGTCCAAGCGTGCTCGTCTTACAGCTTCTTGGATGTGGCGATCGTGATCTTTCAACACTTGATCCATTTTGCCTGATGGAACTAGTAGTGGTCCAGAGTAGTGGATTTTGTTGCCTTTTGATCCATATCCCAACTGACATGAAAAAAGATTGTGAGTAAGTAAATCAGATCATGGTAGTTTTGCAGATGTATAGACAGAATATGTGGATAGGCTTCTTACAAGAACGGGATCGTTGTTGCTGGTTCTACCGTCCTCGTTTTGATGATGTGAGCTAGCAAGTGCATGATTTTTCTGTTCTTGTTTCATTGTGGAATGTGAAGCCTCTTTATAGGATCCGGGAAACCTGGCTATGAGTTTAGGAACCTCCTGTTTGTGTGAACCTGACTTATCTGGACGGTCTTCAGAGAACATGCTTCTCCTTGCAGCGACTAGCCCAGACATAGCTGACATGTCCGCTACAGAAAGCTTTGGGGCATCATCCATATTCTTTCCAGCTTTTGCCCAAGCAGCTCGGTGAGACAATGGCCCGGAATGGGAACCTCGCTTATGAAGCTGCACGTGGGGATCATTACTTGCTTCTTCGACGACTTGAGATGGTCTAGGAGGGTCAATTGGAAAACCAGAGGCAACTTCTTCTGGATGAGAGTTGAACATCTCACTTCTGCTTTTTGGATTGGATTGACCTTGTCTTTTCTGCGTAGAGAGCACCACATCACATGAATATGGAACAAAACAATATAATCAACAAAAAAATGTATTTTTAAGGTCTGGACGAGCAAACATAAGGTAAATGCAAGACATCGATAACACGAATACCAGAAAGAAAAAGAAAGAGCATAAACTCAGAACGAGGCCATGACAGAAGTCTACATTTAAACACTTGGATTGTTGTCAACAGATTCACGGAATTGGTCAAGCAACCTATTTTAATATTTTGTGAAAAAGACGGGCTATTAATCTCTGAACAACACAAAATTTAAGTTTTTGTTATGCTAAAGAGTGAGGGAAAAGGCCACTGAAGAAGCTAAATCTGCAGATACTGCCGTCTAACAGTGTCAGAGTGCAACTGTACTCACGATGGTCACTTGAGCAACTGTCCACTTTTATGCTCTCACATTTTAGAGGTTAAATAAGTAGATGTCATATGCTCAACCTCCTCTTCCCAGACACCCTACCAGAAAAGGAAATAGCAACAATCCCACTGTCCCATTTTATATTAGCACACCTTCCTTTTTGCTTCGTCTCTACCCCAAAAATTGCACCGTTTTAATATTTAGAAACAACTTAACATAAAACTTGCAATTTTACTTGAAGTTGGCGCCAACATAACTGACTTTTTGCTTACCAAGCCATCCAGGCTTTTACTCCTTCGATTAGATCCTTAATGAAGAGTTATAAGTCACACAAATGTCAATGTCTTGTTTTAGACCACAGGTTTCAAAAATCCATTTTTTCCTTAACTCCATTCCCAGTCAAACACAGCCACATAAATTGAGAAGGAGGAAGCTGTAATTTCACGGCGTCATAAGTAAAGATTTCAAGGTTATTTGATTTACTCAAGCCAGTGACCCGGAAAGTGCAATACTCCATGGGCAAATCAATGTCAACAAGCTGTCATAGAAAATTTACCTGCATAGAGGAAACTAGCTCAGCATTGGCTTCGGGTGCAGGAACTGCACGCGATTCTCTCGTTCCTCTCCTTTCTGGGTCATATCTATGACCCTTACCTCCAGCAGCCGCTTGCCTAAATATTTACAAAAGCAGTGAGAGTATCAGTACATAAACAAGAGCAGATCTATCAGCACTATCAATTACGTCTTAATGCCCATTTAAACTGTGAAAATTCTGCAGCACATTAAACTATGAAGCTACGCAAATAATATTTATGTTTTCTGCTAATTTACCTTCGGGCTTCTTCATCTCGAACTTTTGCATCAAATTCCTTGCTCGGAGGATATTTTGGCAAGCTTGAAGGATCACAAGGAAGTGGCTTTGTTGTAAAGAACTGAAATAAGCAGGCTTTTTCAGTAAGGAAAAAAAAAAGGCAAGTTTCATAAGGAAAATTCTGAAAAATTGTCTAATCATATGGCCATTCAGTGTCCATAGCATAAAACACAAACACAAAACATATGATTGTAATAAATTTTATGAGATTGCACCATCATCAATTGGTTGTTTGAGTACAAATGATAGTTTGAGAGATGGCAAGTCTACAGCTTCGACAAAGTGAATGTCCTAGTGATACAGAAAGATTTTTATCTTTAAGAAACTTCATACCTCACACTTCAAGGCAGAGCATGAGGACCCACGATCAGCAGGATCTATGGAGAGTAAGGTTTCTATAAGTGCCAGTGCTGGTGCAGGGAACTCTTTAAATGTTTCTGCAACACAGCGCCTATAAGGTTGTTGGGGCTTAAATATTGTTGCATGCGGCAACCTCGATTTCCTCCAGTATTCTTCAGAAGGTGATCCACACAGTTTGAAAATCTTATGAAGCTGCTCAACCTACACCACAGAGTATGCACTTCAAATTTATCAACATGTTAAGCTCTATAGAGAGACAATCATACAAGTATAGGACAAGTAACAGCCAGTAATATCAAATTGAATAAAAGACACAACTAATGAATGTTCTCTGTCAGAGAAAGTTCAAACCACCATAGATTATTCATCATATTAGACTGCAAAAGATGCAACAGGATGACACGATAAATTATCTGTAAACGGTTGCAAACAAAGAAGTATATAAGATCACATGCTACAACCCATATTGCATTTGACTAGGATGCATAGAACTGTATCAGAGG